CCATTATGACATACTCTTTCTGTTTGCATGTGTGTGTGATGTGTGTGCTCATTTGTACATGTGTGTATATGCAGGTGTATGTTCAGGTGCACATGCATGCATGCATGTGGAGACCCCAGGTTGCCTTCATGTGTCTTCCTCAATAATTCTTTACAGCATTTCTTGAGAAAGGGTCTGTCTTAGTGTTCTATTGCTATGAAGAGACACCATGACCACAGTAACTCTTATAAAGAAAAGCATTTAACTGGGGCTTGCTTATACTTTCAGAGGATTAGTCCTTGGGCATTATGGCAGGAGGCATGGTGGCACACAGGCAGACATGGTGCTGGAGAACTAGCTGAGAGTTCTAAACATAGATCTGAAAGCTGCAGGAAGAGAGAGCCTGGCTAGAGTTTCTGAAGCCCCAAAGCCCACCCCGGTGACACAATTCCTCCAACAAGACCACACTTCTTAATAGTGCCACTCCTTGGTGACCGAGCATCCAAGTCTATGAGTCTATGGGGGCCATTCTTACTCAAACCACCGCAGGGTCTGCCTCTGAATGTGGGGCTCGTAATTTGGCTAGACTGGCTGATCAATCAGCTCTAGGGGTCCAACTGTCTCTGCCTGCCTTGCGCTGGGGTTTCATACACGTGCCATCTGTGCTTCAGGTCCTCATACGTGTGTACGTGGCACTTTATCAAAGATGTTGTCTCCCTGGCTCTCATTCTGGCATATTGCACTGCCTGCTTTTCCACTTAACACGTCCTTGCTGAATTCCAATCACATTGTGAGTAGCTTTGTGCTCATTTCACTGATGTACTTACTGTGAATACAGCATAACTTATCTACTACCCAACATTTAAAAAATTATAAACCGTACTGCATAAACATTCTTTTACATCTTTTTCTAGAAGCATTTCTCTATGGAATATACCTAAGGGTAGCCTTATTTGGTCAGCTTTTCCATCTTTTTCTAGAAGGCAGTGCGAGCATTTCTCTAGGATAGACTTATTTGGTCAGAGTTCAAGTTCTTTTTCAGTTTGTTAGGCAATGTAGTATCATTTCTCAAAACAGTGTAAGTTGTAGTGCATTCTCAACCATTTTTAATCCTGTGTGTGGTAACTAAAAATAGGTACTTGATTGCTGCAGCTCTACTGTGGTCTTCTCCTGAATTTTTAGCACGGTCATTTCCCATGCTTGTAGGACATTGCTTTTTCTACTCCGGGTAAGTTTCAATGCATGTGAAACTCCCCCCTTTGACTTACATGCTTGAATGTTTGGTTCCCACTGACGTTGCTGTTTTGAGACGATGTGAGACCTTTAGAAGTTGGGCCAATCTAGCTGGAGGGAGGGAGTTACTAGGGGAGTGAGGATGGTCCCTATGGATCATAGCCTCTCCTTGGTTCTGCCACACCATACTGTCACTGCCACACTTACAAGCTGTCATGAGGTCAGCTATGTCTTCTACACTGTGATTGTCTGAGCCACCTTAAACTGTGAGGGGACACAAACCCTGCCTTGCTTCTTTTGTTTCTGCTGGGTAGAGTCAGCAATGAGAAAAATGCTGCTACACCCAAGGCTCACGTGTTAGCCCACATGTTATTGAGATTATTTTGCTTTTTCTTACTCGTTGATAAAGTTTCTTGTTTAATTTAAATATGAATCCTGTATGTTGCCAGTAACTTTCCTAAGGTTTCCTCTCTCTCCCTCTCTCTGTCTCTCTCGGTCTCTCTCTCTCTCTGCCTCCCTCCCTCCCTCTCTCCCTACCTCCTCCCTCCCCCCTCTCTTTCAATCCAGTGCTTGTCTGTGTAACTGCCCTGTCCTTTAGAATAATTTCCTTTGTAAAACAGTTTTATTTTTTCCAAAAAAATCCTTATTAACAAGAAAGGGTTAAAATTATTACCCTATATTAAACTTGAATACATTTTATAATTATACATTTATATTTAACTCTTTTTTTTTTTGGTTTTGCGAGACAGGGTTTCTCTGTATTGTTTTGGAGGCTGTTGGTCCAGCCCGGCCTCGAACTCACAGAGATCTGCCTGCCTCTGCCTCCCGAGTGCTGGGATTAAAGGCGTGCACCACCACTGCCCGGCTATATTTAACTCTTAATACACCAACATTTGACTTGTCTTGTGGAGGGAGAGGTAGAATTTCCTTTTATCAATTTACAGATGACTTATTTTCCCTAAATTCATATATTGAAAAAATTCACATTCCCTTCCAGCATCTCCAATGCCAGTTCCAGAGAAGACACCCCATACATTGGTGTGCATACTTCTGTGCTCTCCTCTCTCATTTGTGTGTCTGTATATTTTCTATGCTGTACCACACCATCCTAAGTGTGACAGACAAATTTTAGTCTCTGGAAGAACAGTTTTCCCATTGTCTTCTTTTTATGTGTCCATTTTCGGTCCTTTGATCTTTTATTCACATGTTGGGATTAACTTGTGAGTTTCCCCCATAGTGGATAGGAACTTTGGGATTTTACTGAACACATGAAGTCATATGTCTCCATACCTAGGTGCTCACAGAACTTATGATTGGTAGAGCCTTGTATTTCACAAGGTCTTTTTTGGCTCCTCACCAGCTTCAATCTCTCACAGTCTGATAATACCATAGAAGGAGATGCTGTGCTCAGTCAGGAGAGGCTTCGTTTATAGAGAACTGTGATAAAGTGAAACTATAGTAAATCTCGATACTGTTTTTACCTGAGTGTATTGATATAAGCCCATTAAGGCTGCACTTGTGTGTGTGTGTGTGCCTAGGAGAAAACATCACAACTAGCCCTGAAAGCAACTACTGTGTGTCATAGTAGTAAAAACAAATCAGCAGCAACAACAAAAGGCTCTTTGTATTTAATACAATTTATCTATGTCCTATTTTTTTTGTTTTGTTTTACGAACAGGGTTTCTCTGTATTGTTTTGGAGGCTGTCCTGGAACTCTCTCTATAGACCAGGCTGGCCTCTAACTCATAGAGTGCTGGAATTAAAGGCAAGTGCCACCAACACCCAGCTATCTGTGTCTTCTTATTGGAATTTGTCAGAAGTTTTTCCCCGGATTAAGGTCAGTAGATTCAGTTCAGATAAGACTGATAACTATATGTGCTGATATAAATGTGAGTGAAGTTGCAAAGTCAGTAAAATGCTTATGGATCTGAGTTCTATTTTCAGAAACACGTTTTTAAAAGGGCTGAGTCTTGTAACACATGTTTGTAATTCCAGCGTTGGGGAGAGACATGCAGATCCAAGGGCACACTGATCAACCTAGCCTATTTGATGAGTTTGGTAAGAGATCATATAACCAATCAATCAACCAACAGGACATTTAAGGTTGATCTCTGACTTTGTGTGTGCACACAAACATACACACACATACAGAAACATTTGTTTTATGTAGACTGCTCTTAGAGAAAATTAATCTTAATAATATGTTTTGAAGCCTAATTATATCTAACTATAATTGTCATGGGCACTACGGTGACATTAGACAGAGGAAATGTGTTGTTTTCCAGTCATTGCTTGAGCACAGCCTCCTTTATCTTGGTCCTGGAAGCTCAAGGGTTGTGCTTTGGGTGGCAGCTCTACTTCACACAGTGTGTGCCTCTGTAGGTAAAGCAGGCTCTCACTGCCATTACTCAGTGTTGAGTCTTCCTGGTAAATCCTTCAGGCTTGTTTTGTGAGACAGGAATTGGTTTGAACCTTTGTTCCCTAAGTTGTATCATATTATACTCTTGTGAGGCACTGACTGAGAATGGGGCATCACAGCCAATGGCAGTGGTCAGAGCAGATCTACATATGCCCCGAGTGAAGGCTGGGTTTTCATTTGACTGAACGGTCTGTTCAACAGACTGATAATAGCTGGGTCTTGAGCATATTAGCTTGATTTTTAAAAACATCACTTTTTAAACTGGGTGTTAATTCAAAACTACACAACTGTTTATAGTTGCTAGTAAGCACAGAGTGCTAGGATCTTTGCACCCCAGTCTGACAAAAGAAAAATAGTCTCATAAAAATGATCATAATGGAAACAACTTCAGTTGTTTACCTATCCCTGGTTGATTGCCAGCTTCTCAGCTGTCCCCAGTTATCAGTTGATCATTCAGCAGTGCCTGATTGTCAATTGATCAGTCAGCTATCCCTGATTGTCAATTGATCAGTCAGCTATTTTGATTGTCAGTTAATCAGTCAGCTATCCCTGATTGTCAATTGATCAGTTAACTATCCCTGATTGTCAATTATCAGTCTGCTATCTCTGATTGTCAGTTGATCAGTCAGCTATCTCTGATTGTCAATTCATCAGTTAACTATCCCTGATTGTCAATTATCAGTCTGCTATCTCTGATTGTCAGCTCATCAGTCTGCTATTTGATTGTCAGTTGACCAGTCAGCTATCCCAAGTGTCAACTGATCAGTCAGCTGTCCCTGATTATCAGTCAGATGCATGAGCCGGGCACCAGAAACAGGAGTTTTCCAGCAATTTTGTCCTTTTTTCCCCCTTGTGTTAGTCTTTTTGTCACTGTAACAAACACCTGAGAACAGCACAAAAGGAGGGAGGGTTATTTTAACCTATGTTTCAGTGCCTGGTCGGTTAGCTTCATTGTTTCTGGTTCTGTGACTGGCAGAGAGTCATGGAAGAACAAAACTGTTCACTTCATGGCAGTCAGGGACAGGGATGGGGGGGTCATTTCTCCACTTTAGCCCATCTGGACTCCCAGACTACAGACAGTGCTGTGTATACTCAGTGCAGGGTTTTTTTTGGCATTGGTCAGTCCTCTTTGAGATCCCCTACACACACACACACACACACACACACACACACACACACACACACACACACTAAAAAGTGTTAGGTACTTCAGCCCAATCAAGGAAACAGTTAAGATTAACTGTCTCCATACCTCTTGGAGGCTGCAGTTCCCATGACGACATCATCACCCAGAATTTAACCTGCCCCGGGGAAGAAAAGGAATACAAAGAAAGAAAAGAGAAAAAGGAAAGAAACGAACGGGAAAATAAGACAAAGACCATTCAGCCCTTTATTAATGTCACAGCCTGTCACACAAGGCAGAGTGGAGTTCTTCTGGATGCACAAACTGCATTGTCACAGCGGTGAACTAAAAAGAGAGTCAAGTTTGGAGACCTAACGCCTGTCCTCCTAAGTTTGGATTAGAATTGCCTGTGGGCCAAATTCCCTCATTAGCTCCGAATAAATGTTTTCCATCATGAGCAAAAAAGGTTTTATACAAATTCCATTTCCCAGAACTCCATGAATGAAATGGAAACTCCCTTTTCTGGTGTTACAAAACAACTCTCCCTAAACCTGCCTTCTTCTTCTCCAAGTTCACTCTGTGTCTGCTAGGTGGCATTGCAGGCTAACGCTTGGGTCGGATAGCTCCCGGCAGGCCTCTGTGTGGGAGGAGGAGGAGGGAAGGAAGCGCTTCTGCTGCTTCCATCAGTCAGGATATCAGCACCATGGAAGGGAGGAGAGGCGCTCTAGCCAAGCCTTGGCCTCTGTCAGCTTAGGAAGCACTCCCTTCTTCTGGACAGACTGCAGCTGGCAGTGAAGGGGCTTCCTGACCACGTGCTTTGACAGTCTCTCGCGAAATTCTGGGGCACTTAAGCTCAGTGAGAAATGCTGTGGTTTTCTCTGTCCGAATCTTCCAAAAGGTGTTCTGCAACTGTGGAAGGAAGGTCCAAGAGACAAAGGAAGACATCATAATTCAAAGGTTTGGGGGAAATCAAGCTGCACCCTGCTCTAAGTGATTCCTCATTGTGGAAAACAATGGCTTTCAGAGCATGTTTGCCCTGAGTGATTGCGTTTTATTAGGTGCCTTCTGCTCCACTGTGACAGCCTTGCCTCTGCCTCTCCTAGTGTACATAGATAGCATAACTTGTCCACGTCTGCCTACAAAGGACAGACCGATAAATCTTTTTCCTTTGGGGGGGGGTTTGAGACAGGGTTTCTCTGTGGCTTTGGAGGCTGTTCTGGAACTAACTCTTATAAACCAGGTTGGTCTCGAACTCACAGAGATCCACCTGCCTCTGCCTCCTGAGTACTGGAATTAAAGGTGTGCTCCACCATGCCCCTCAACCCTTATTTTAAAAAGAGATACCACTTACAGACTTATCACAGTAGATTGGCACATATGGACACGTGGGTACATTCAAACCATACCAGAAAACTCAGGCCCAAGAACTTACCAAACATACCCGACAATGAAAGCATGCAACGCCATCACCTGGGCCCCATAAACAGGAACTGAACATTGAAATAGCAATGGCCTCACCAACCTGGGCACCGATTTCTCGGTGTGGGGGCAACTGACAGGCAGGAACTTCCCAGCTGTCTCTAGGGGTTTTAGCTTGACTCAGTACCCACTACACAATGTAGCCTATTTTCAGTGCCTCCCATCCGTCCTGATGTCAGTCTGGACCAGGTCCTGGACCTTGCTTCTATGACCTCTCTGGTCCCCTGCATCTGACTCAGACCTGTAGCCCAGGCTCAAACCTGCAGCAGTTGTGAGCTCTACAACAGGTTCTTTAACATTTTCTAACCATCTGCCTTGGCCCTCTTTGTATCCACATCAGCTCTCTGTCTCCAGTGCAGTTTCTATGAACTCCACACCCCTGCTTGACCTTTTTGACCCCTTTGCAATCATTCTGTACATCTATCTGCACATATAGGGATAGCTACAATGACTGTGTGAGGTGTAATATGTAATTTAAGAGTTAATATCACCAATCAAGATTGCAATAAAACAATCTGTGTTTGTCAATGGATAGCTATCAAAGGAAATCAGATTACTTGGCAAATTGCTGCCAACCAAAGCAACACAACTTGTTTATTTATAGCTATTTTTTAAAGTTATTACATTATAGAAAAACACACTATCTGTCTGTGTTTCTAACTTAGTACTGTCAAAGCTGTACCAATACACAACCTTCTGAGCAAGCTCTGGGCTGGAGTGGGGAGAGTCCCACCTGTCTTTTCCTGAGCAACTGATGTTGTCCTGATGCATCAGGGTCTGGGACAGCCTTTCTCAGGCTCTGCAGCTTTAGGAGCCATCCTGGTGTTGAGGTCCCAGGAGGCCTGTGTGGTCTGGAGGGTATCTAGTAACTTAAGAGAATCCCCTTTCCACCTTGTTGAGGCCTGAAGCTCTGAGATTCATGATGACCTCTTGGCCTTAAGGAGTTAAAGATTCCTTTAAATACAGATGTGATGGGAAGGTATTACCTGGAGAAGCTGGAGAAAGAGCCCATGGCAAGAGGGCAGTGGTCAGGAAGAACCCCGGGAGGAACCAGGTCTCAGTTCCAGTGTCTAGGCAGGCTGCTGGCCCGAGAGGAGAACATGAAGACAGGTTTGCAATCTGGGCAGAACCATAGTGCATTTAGAACCTAAGAGCAGGACCCCGGTGGCAACTGCCCAGGGGAATCCAAAGTTCAGATGTCATCCAGGGTGCCCATAAGTGCTGTGTGTAGTTTATGGGTGTGTCCAGGTTTGTGTTCAGGCTCTTTCTCATTCCCTATCACTCTCCCTTGAGATCCAGTCATGCCTGGGGGATGTCACTGGGTCTGCTGGTTGGATCTGAAGATGCAGACTCGAGACTGAAGAGGAGCCTTAGGCAGAGAGGAAATATCAGCACACGTTCCAGAAAGGAGACTTCCTTAAGACACAAAGGTGCCTATCTAGAGGCAGAATACAAATTCCTATACAATGTAGAGCAGAGAAAACACGCTGAGAGACAGAGAGAAGGGAGGAAACACTACACAGAGTGTACTAAATGTTAAAGTAGGGAGGAGGAAATTGGGGGAAATTGCCAACAGCAGCAAAGAGAGGGAGGGAGAGGAGGGAGGAAGAGGGGAAGGGGGAGAGAGAGGGAAGGAGAGAGGTAGAGAGAGGGGGGGGGAGAAGAAGAGAGATAGAAGGAGAGAGGAGGGGAAGAAGGGAGAAGGAGCATGTGAGAGACTGATTGATTTATAATCATGAGAAAGTAAAGAAAAAATGCTAAAGTCCAAAAGAAGTAGAGGCGGAAAAAGCAGGCATAAAGATGGACGTGCGCCGGTTTCTGTGAGTCAGCGTGTGCCTTTCTTCTGAAACTGCCTGGAAGATATTTGTTTGGGTCAAGCTAGGCATTGCTACAATGTCATATTCACCCCAATAATCTATCTGTTTCAACCTCGAGGGATCTACAGCCTCCCTACATTTATCTCTGCCTCAGCCATGATACCTCTTTTGGCAGTAAACATCAGTAACTTAAGTGCCATGAGTCATATTTTCAATTTTTAATTAAATTATGGCCCAGCTACAGTTTGATTTATTTCAGCCCAAATTAATTTAAAACTGAGTCCACATAAATTTACGTGGCATATTTAATACAGTTTGCAACTGTTCAGATTGTGAAGTCTTGTAGATAGACGCAGTCTTCTAGCAGGCAGCGTGGCAGTAACTGGAGCTAAGGGTGAGGTCTACCTTACTCTTGAAACTGTGGCCGTAGAGGAAATCCGCTGCGCTCCTAGCAGAGAAGGTAAGGCGTACCTCCAGATGTCTACACTCTAAAAGCAGGGGCGGTATGGTAAAGGCGCATTAAAACAAGCGGGGGTGTGTTTCTTTCCCAGAATGTTAGAGATTGTAAATTTATACAGTAAGCATCCAGGAAAAGAATCCCATCTGCCCGTGAACATGAACTAAATCCTATTTTAAACAGCAGGAGTGTGACTCATACCGATACGGCGTTCCTAGAATTCTGATAAAAAAAAGAAAAAGAACCCATCACGTTAATTAATGTTCCTGAGAAAGGGTCATAGCTTACAGGAAATGAATTGGAAGGTGACAGGAAGAAAGGGTGGGGACACAGTGTTTTTGGCTAAAGACAACTGACAGCATCCATCATAAAGATCTTAGCAGATGGGAAACGCGGGGGAGGGGGGTTTGCAGGGGTAGGACAGATGAGGCTAGGGGGCCATGGGAGGGAATGGTGAGGGGAGGCACTGGTTGGAAGGTTGGAGCGAGCTGTGGGAGCTGGGTCAGGAAACAGGGCCTGGGGAAGAGTAGCAGAGTCCTTCTGCTTGTCTGGCGAGCCAGGTGATCTGTGGGATGGAGTTTTCTCGTACTCCTGAATGTTAAAGGGCACTCAACCAACCGAGCTGGCAATTCAGTTAACTCACTGACTCTTCCCGTAAAGGAGCAATCCCTCCGAGGGGTGAAAGAGTCCGGTTCTGCAAAAGGTGGAAATGAATAGGCTCCATGCATGTGAGCTGGAGTTTGGATGCTTGCTCTCCTGTCACCCAGAGGACGGGAGTGGATAATGGGAAGAGGTCACCACCAGGCCCGTGTGCGCCTTTCGGACTGCTTTGTCCTCTTCCTCTTCCAGGTGATTTCATGATGGGTTACAGACCCTCATTTCTGCACAAACCAGACGCAAAACGCCGCACAGGATACTTTGTTAACTCTTTTTTAAAAAAGAAAATATTGCATTGACTTGCAGCAGTAGGCTTGTGGGAACGAGAAGCCGGCTTCCAAAGTTGGTTCTCCCCACCATGTAGGTTCTGTGATAAACTCAGGTCCTCGGGCTTGGCACTGAGTGTCCTCAACTGAGCGCTCTCTCGCCAGCTTCCTTGTTCTTTTTTTCACAAATGCTTTGATAAAATGGGAAACATTAGCAAAGCTCTAAAACTCAACCAACCAACCAAGCAACACATTTGTCAGAAAGAAGTCAGTGTTCTTCAAGGGAATCTGGAAAGAGTGGGTGTCCTGCTCCTAGCAATTTCTGAAAATCATCAAGGATTATTAACTTTCCTGGGAGTAGGGAGGGCTGTGAGGACCCCCTGTGAGGTGGCAATGCCAGGAGCATCAGTAAATTCATCTCCAGAAGGTAGAGTTGGCCGCTTCTATTAAAGTGCTTTTGCACTGTACTGGGAGGCTGAGGGTTGGAGGAAATGTCTAGTGTATAATCTAGTAAAGCATCAGGAATGATAAATCCCTAAATGTTGGAGCCTTATGAGCCCGCCCCAAAGCCATGGGGATTATGAGCAGAATCCTCTTTGTTGTTTTGCGCCTGGTAAGAGTGCTGAGGATGCAATATGTATGTGATAAAGAGAAGTGTAGAGTAACTAATTCAATCTGCTAGACCATCAGGAAACACTGGAAAGTCCCACTTGCATGTGATACTGTTTTTATGAGACAAATGGCTTGACTGGAGGAAAGTGGGGTGCCAAGAAAACTTGAGTTATGCTTAGGAGGTGTCATCATGGGAGTCAAGACTTTTGAGCCATGACTAACTAGCTGTTGAGGCTTGGACTAATCATGTTATTTCTCAGAGTCTTGGATTTGCAGAGAGATCAGGCTACTTTTATTTGTTTATATTCATAATCAGTGTAAGCCTGCTTGATTCTCAACTATCAGCTAAGACTTGTAAGTTTCATTTCTTGTGTTCTGGATCCACCCTAGCAAGGAAATACAGAAGTAATTGATGTCCCGTCCCATCTCCCACTATTATTTATAATTCCTTGATTGGGAACTCATGGTAACTTATTACCTCTGTGCTCTCTAGTAAAATTTATATTTTCAATGATGTAATCCTGATCTTGACATTTTCACATCTAAGAAGGATGTTGAGCCATTGTTGGCACTGGTCAGTGTGCGTTAATAGATGTTGTGGTCTCTGTTCCCTGAGACCCA